GTAACAACAGTTAAAAAAAGGCAATAACTTGAAAGTGAACATAGGGAGTATATGAGAAGGTTTGTGTTTGCAGGGAAGAAAGGGATGGGAAAATTATGTTTTATAATCTCAAAATATAAAAAAATTACAAAAAGAAAAATGTGGATATTTATAGGATGCTATATGATGTTTTGGTAGTTATGTGTTTCTTGATAATTTTTCCTAAGAAGTAACATGTTTGTTTAAAGAATCCTTATTAGAACTTTAATAATTATGAAAAATTATAATGACAACAAGTAGGAAAAGACACACTATTGAGAACATATAATATAGCTCTAGATTCATGGCTAGAAGGGATATTTAAAATCAATGGAACAGTTTGTTTCAAGAAAGAAGAATTAGAAAAAAATTAAAACGTAATATAACTTATTATTTTATACTTTGTTGAAGAAGTGTGATTTTAAAAGCTCCAAATAAAACCTGTGGTTTATATCTTCATGTGCTTCTATTACAAAAAGGAAATAGTTCTGATGTCAGCAACTAGTTCCTGCCCAGTCTCCCCAGACCCTCAGGTTGGCTTTCACGTCCGAACCAAGTATAAGTGGCACAACTCAGCCCGAGCATCTTGAGAGCAGGCCCTTCCTATACCCCGAGCAGACTCAGCCTGAGCATCTGGAGGGCAGGCCCTTCCTATACCTCGAGCAGACTCGGCCTGAGCATCTGGAGGGCAGGCCCTTCCTATACCCCGAGCAGACTCAGCCTGAGCATCTGGAGGGCAGGCCCTTCCTGTGCCCTCCATTGTTTCCAACACTTAGCTTCAGGGTTCAGAAAGATCAAGAACAACTATTTGGTGAGCAAAGAGAGGACCAACGTGAGGAAAGACTATTAGGTACATCCTGGAGGTACATCTACGGGGCAGAAGGTCTTTGCATTCACCCATCATGCCTGCATCTCTACGATGGAAAGATGTAAGGACCCCGGGCTCCAGGTTCTTCCTTCAACCTAGATTGCATGATGGAAACCCAGGCGGAGCCAAAACCTGATGCCCTGGTTTTATTTCTCTTTTCCCATTTCAAAAACAAGAGCTGTATTTAATTCTAATTTTCCTGCAGAAGGGAAGGGGAACTTTCATGTGTGAAAGAATGGCACCCCCAGCCATCTGAGAACGCTTCTTCCCAGGAACACCTGTTTGCTCCAACTGAAGCCTGTCCAAACTGAGTCCCCCGGATCTGGAGCTTCTCTTCAAATGCTCCACTACTCTACAATATTTATTCCCCACCTGTCTAATGGCTATGATAGCTTGGGAATGCTCCAGCCAGGGAAAGCTGTGCCTTGGCCTGGCATGGCAAAGCTAGCAGTAGCTAATGCTCACCCAGAATCTCATTTGGCTCCGGAGGCCCTTGAGTTCAAACATGCCCTTCCTTTCAGGCTTCTGGCTTAGCAAAGGCCTCTAAGAGGAAGAAGCAAATACTTTTCATCTTCACGGTGATGTGTTATGAAACCAGGTAATGCCTTTCACTCTGTGTTTATTAAGGCTGGTTAATCAGCTTCACACTCCTGCTTAATATTCAGTATTCCAGTCATTAAGTGGTTGCCTGACACTAAAAGTGGGGATTGGTAAATCAATTTATCCAACGATGGAGCTGTTGAAATGCAGAGGGTAAAATGTAGTTAAAAAAAAAAAAACCTTAAATGCATAATTTAACATGTAATTCAAGGTAGGGAAAAATGCCTACATCAGACTCTGGTTTATAATAGTGAAATAATGTTTTATTTTAAAATTCTAGCCATGAGAAAACTGTGCATTCGAAAGGCTTACATAAAGCCTTATAAAATAAGAGACCTTTTATCTTCCCCAGATCCACGCGCTTGACAATACTTTATCTATGCAATTCCGAGGCACATAAAAAACCCCGGTGAATAAATAAAATATTCTTTTCTCTCTTTTATACAGAAGCTTTAAACATTGCCCATATAAATAGCCTGGCCTTGAACACACAGATTAAAAGACCAAACGGGCTGTCGCTTCAGATCATGTGTACCGGATAGAAAATGAGTGCTTTCTTTATGGGCTGGGCGAGTTTTCAACAGACTGACTTTCTATACGGCCATTCAGCGAGAAATGTGGAAAAATTCAGCATTTTAAGTGATATACTTATCAACTGAACAATATAATAAAGCAATCCACGTACTCTGCCAATGTTCTTTGCTTTTCTGCAAGAATCACATGCACACCACATATAGTCAATGTGCAATATTATTTCAAAGGCCAGGACGTTTTCTAAATATGTAACTTTAGTGAGGCATGGGAAAATTCCTAATAGTTTTCTAACACATAAAAAGGGTTTTCTTTCCATAATTGCTTACAATTAGAATTACTTAAGTGATTGCAAGCTGTCTGGACTCTTAGAGGGAACTTTAAGTTCCGTCGCAATTAAAAAACTTTCTTAGCAAGTTAAGTTTAAGGTGAAGGCCAACCTGAAGTTGGTTCACTAACTTTGTGAGCAGATCAATAGCGGTCTGTGTGCCCTCAACAGGGTTGCTGTCAAAACAGAGCTGGCTAACACCACCCTGGTGACCAAGGTCTGCTGCTAGGAGCCACTAAACGGAAGCTGCCCTAGCAGGGCCTGCTGTGCTCCACGTGGGTGAAGAATTAGGCTGTGGAATCTCATTTGCCTCTGCAGGGACAAGGGATGCGCTCTTCCTCATCTTCCATGACATCTGTCTTCCCCTTGATCTCTCACTCACCAAGTAACCAAGTTACTGTGAACTTAGCCACCCAAGGCCACAGTTCTAAGAGAATATCAGGTAAAACATTGCTATTCACATTGAAGAAGATGCTGATACTATTGCAGCCAACACAACACAAGCTAAACCCCAAGCTGATTGGCCCACATTTTGCCCTATCTTGGTGGGAGGACATGGATCAGACATAATTTCTACAGGTGATGTCTGTTACAGCTATGGTTGGAACATGTTCCCCAAAAGTCTATGAGTTGGAAGCCTGTCTTCATGTTGCTGGTGTTTGTAGGTGAGGGCTCTTGGGAGTTAGCCAGAATTTGGAGTCTAGAAGATGGGGCTGCCATGAGGAGTGAGTGGCAGGGAGGAATAAGAGACTAAAGCTAGCACACATGCTCTGCCATGCTACGTGAGGCCCTCTGCCTGTTTCGGTGCAGCAGGGTCATACACAGACTGAACGGGTGCTGATGTCAAGCTCGTGTAGTCTCAGCTTCAGGAATTGTGTACCACATACACGTTCATTCTTTATAAAATCACCCAGCATGCAGTTCTTGTCTATGCATATAAAGACCATAATGCTATCAGTTTAGTTTTACAAAGACCACCTTAGATGAGACCACACATAGCCCCAGCTAACTACAGTCCCGTTATATTTTAACTGTCACGACACAGCCTTATGGACATCTTCCTGACAGCAATCTGATTTACCAAGCAAGGCCTCCTTGCATCCTTTTGGGTCAGAGTCAATACTGGTGCTGCTTTTACGCCAGCACACTTCAGAAGAATGAGGGCAATTGAATTGCAATGGTATCTAGCTAGGATGTGGGCACCATTCACAGCTGTCTCATCCCTCAACACTTTAGGACTGGTGTGGGACTATTTGAAAATATTATGGAAGTTTAGAAGAAAATTACCAGAGATGCATATGGACATGTACACACACACACACACACACACACACACACACACACACACACACTCAGAAAAGTGCAGTGCTTCAGAAATTCAGGGGAGTCCAGCCCAGGAAAGGAACTAGTTTTTAAGGCTTGAGAGAGAGTGTGGTTTCTGCAGGGCATGTGGGGCGTTCCTCTAATGCCTTAACCGGCTGGGGATGAAAATGTCAGCAGAATTTCCCTCATCATAAAACAATGAGGGGTCAGAACACAGAGCACTCGACAGCTTTGTTCAACTCTCCTTCTCAAACTCACCTCAAATTTATCATCCTGGCGTTTCCCAAAGACATTCACATGCCAGATCTAAAGTTCTTTACAGAACTTTGCCAAAGAAGACTTTTTTTTTTTTTGAGTTTTACAAATTCTTTTATTGGGGTTAAAAAAAAAGATTATTTCTCCTTTCACGTCAGCTGCTATCTCGTCAAGGAATGTCAGAGACAATTTAAAATAAAAAATTACAACCTCAAAGTTCATAATTTAAGAAATATTTTTATTTCATTTTTGCATATTAAATGTGTTTCTGAACCAACAGTTTTGTTGATTTTTTTTTCCACTAGTAAAGTAACGAATTCTTTCTTAATACCTAGATGACAGAGTCTCCAGTGGTTCACAGTTGTTTCCTATTATGGCTTCCCTGGAAACCATTTCTGGGAAGGCACAATTCCCAGCACTTAACTTTGTTTACAACAGACAAACCTGCTTGTGTGGTATAAATAGGAATCCGTCTTTAAATTCTGCTGAAAAAATAAAAGGCAGCCATGAAACAGAGCATTTCCTGCCCTAAAGGTGGCTTTAAAAGATTCTTAGCTACTTTAGGAATGGCAGTGAAGCATAAGTAATAATTATCAATTGCCACACAGTAAGATACTAATTTTATAGAAAAAATTATATAAAGAGAAAACAAAAACATGCCAGCGACGCCCTGAGAACTGTCAGTGTTAGGCTCTTTACGCTGAGGTTCTGAAGCCCGGCTTTGTGCTCGAGTTTGTGATGTATATCTATAACTTGCTCTTGTCGTGCAGATAAACGTCGCCTTGTCTCCCTAACTGCACTTTGAAAAGCAGCTTCACAGTCGTTTGACTTTTGATCTGGGTGGCAGCGAGGCTTGACCACCTGCGCTGTGCACGAGCCGTTACTGAGCTGGCTTTGTGCGGTCTCATAACACAGAAATCCTTTTAGAATTGATGTGTGAATACGCTAATCTACAACGTGAGTGTTCAAACAAAAAACCATGGTGGTGGTTGGGGAGGCAGGGGTGTTGGCAGCAGAGAAGGGGTGCACGGGAGACATTCTCACCCTGGATTTATGAAGCTGGGCTATTGTCCTCACCTCTAGCGTTCAGTGAAACAGGTGTGAAAGGCCTCCCTCAACCCACAATGGAGCAGGCAGCGGCGGGATGGCAGGGGCCTGGAATTGTAAGATGCTGTTGTTCAGTGATGGTATATGTTAATAAATAGCCATTTACAAGGGGGGGGGGAGGGCGAAGACTCCATTACTTGTTTATAAGGAAGGCCTTGGGCGTCTTGCTTTGAGTTAACAGCTCAAGGCTGTGTTCAAAGAAGGCATTGACGGTGAAGGCAAAGAGTTCCCACCACTCAGCCGCATTAAAGTATGGCATGCATGTGGGAAGAAAGGACAGCGGAAGAGAAAGGCAGTCCAAGAATTCGGTCAAATTGTGTCTCACAACGGAGAAAAAAATGTAAGTTGCTTTTCTATTGAGATGAGATAATGGGCAGAAATCTCGGTGCACAGGTGCTCACTCAGCAAACCTCTGGATGGACATGCTTACGTGTGGCCAAAGTGCCAGAAGTAAAAGCTTGTATGGTTTCAATTAAAGTGTACCCATGGGAACTGGGACAAGAGCCTTGCAACTATTCTCCCTCATTCTTCCAAGGCTTGTCATACAGAACCATGGCCCTGTGCTGAATATGAGGGCTCCCCCAAATCCCAGAAGCTATCAGTCAAGAGGAGAGGCGCACTCCTCCTAAAAAGTCCCCCAAAAGGCTGACAGCATGTCCTCGCTCCCCAGTAGACTACTGGCTACCAGAGGCCACTTCTGTCCTCTTTCCGAGCAGGGATTTCTCGACCTGTGTGTGGGTCTGTGTTGGTGTCCAGTGGAAACTCACAGTCTCTGTGTGCTGTCTTCCTGGGGTGCTGGTTCTCTCAGTTTTACTTCCCCCTGCCTTGTTTCAGCTGGCTGTCCCATACTGTGGGGAGGGTGCAGTGAAAAGGTCTGACAGAGAGCTGAGACACAGCGGTTGATGACATGCCTGAAGCTCACGGAATGACGTGAGTTAATGCTAGTCTATGGGTGGGCCATGTTATTGGAGGATTCAGCAAGGCCACGTGACTAAGACCTGGGCCTGGTGAGGAGAGATGGATGCTCCACTGAAGTAGGATGAAGTGAGAGCTGTGTTCTGTCAGCTGGCTCTCTTGAATTCCCACATTCCCAGCCGTGGTCTGTACTTAGAACAGGACATCAGATCGTGGCTATGACCTTTTCTGACTAGAACCAGTCAGAAAATCAACTCCATGCTGTTACCTCTGAAGAAAAGGAGGAGGAGGAGAAAGAAACAAACCCCAAATCTCATATACAGTTCTTTCCATTGAGTGTCAATGATGGAGGAAGGTAATTGGTTAATTATAATAAACCAACTGCTTGGCCTCATAGCTTAGAACATAGGTGGGTGGAATAAACAGAATAGGATGCTGGGCGGAAGAGGAAGTGAGGTCAGACTCTGCTCTGCTCCTGGACAGTCTCGACAGCTCTGCTGTGGCGCAGAGACGCCATGCTCCGCTCTCCCAGGCAACTCCAAATCAGGATGGACCTAGGCTAGAATCTTCCCGGTAAGCGCACCTTGGGGTGCTTACACACATCATTAGAAATGGGCTAGTACCATATGTAAGAGCTAGCCAATAAGAAGCTGGAACTACACGGGCCAAGCAGTGTTTAAATGAATACAGTTTGTGTGTTGTTCTTTTGGGCATAAGCTAGCCAAGCGGCCGGGGTGTTGGGGACTCAGCCCTGCCGCTCCTATTTCAACATGTCACAGAGAAAGCTAGAGAAGGTGGCCAGATTTAGTCCCTGCAGAGGGTCAGGCCCCCTCCTAGGAGAGGTGAGAGTAGTCAGGATCAAGGTCCAGTACTAATGGTGGCATTCGAACCCTAGACTTCAGGACACCTGAAATCAAAGCTGTCCTTGGTCTGTTAAGTCATACACGAGGTAGCATTTATCCCTTCCTTTGTGTCTGGCCAGTTTGGTCTCCATTTCTGTCACTCACATCCAGAACAGGATGGACGGCAAAGGGGGAGCATTGCATGGAGGAGTGACCAGCCCAGCAAATAATACTCACACCAGGGAGGAGTGACCAACCAAGAAATACTCACACCAGGGAGGAGTGACCAGCCCAGCAAATACTCACACCAGGGAGGAGTCTAACTAGTGCTAGGGGGAAGAAATCGTCAGCTGTCGTGGGGAACCTGGTGTTTGTCCAGCGACAGATCTTGGAGATGAAGCTAAGTGGGTCTGGCGCTGAGGGCAGCAGAGGCTGCAGCAGTTGGGGCGGGGTTTCTCCCAGGAAAATGCTCATTTTGCTTGGTAGTGGACAAAGCAGCCAATCACATATTAACATATAAAGGAGGAGGGTAAGAGTCACAGAGAACAAGTAGGGGACTTCCCCTCAGAACAGTCGGCATGAGCGAGAATCAATATAATACCACCAATTTGTAATTATCTAAAAATCCTTTGGGAAGCTAGAAAGTGAAAAGAAGGAAAATTTAAAATGCCAAGTTAAAATGTGCACACCTAAAAAAGTCTTAATTAGCACTGATTTTAGCTGACGCTCTCACGTTTGCTTGCTTTCAAAGCACTGATGAGAATGGGAATAACAAACCTTGCTGAAGCCTTCCAAGCCTCTGGCACCGTTACATGCACTGTCTCGGGGAACTCGCATCAGCATTTGTGAGGGAGAAACTTGCCACCCCTATTTTTTGAGTGAGGAAACTGAGGCAAGGAGAAGAGCCTTGCAATAGTTAACAACAGGAAGCAGCCAACTGAGCACACAGCTACTCTTACCACACGCCTCTCTCCGGGCCCACGCAAATGTCGTTCTTAATAATTAAACAAAACTGCAACTGTTTTCTCCAGTGAGGATAAGGCCCCGGGTGATATAGCACTAGACGCAAAAATAACATTTTCTTACCACGATGTTCGCCAACCACTGGCAGGAAGAGGGAGAACAGGCATTCCTACGACACACTGTTGGTTTTTATTGGCTCCAATTAATGCTCAAAAATAACAACCCTAAAGGCTCCCCAGGAGCACAGTTGCAAGAGACTTCTTTGGCACACGGGGCTAGAGCACATCCCCAAAGCAGGGCCTAGCAGGGCTCACTCTATGCTTTCAGCGCCATCACCAAACACTGGTAATGGTCGTCTGCCCGTGAGGACACTGGTGCTCCGCAGAGGGGCATGTTTAGAGGCAAAATGTGATTTCAAGGAAAGGAACTGTTGCTCCCCAGACTGAAGGAGCTGCAAAACCAGCACACGCGCCAATGTATTCTAGCCAGTGCGGGGGGTGGGGGCGGGGAGGGGGGGTGCCTGTGCTTGCAGCTGTCTGCTTCCTTCACTCACAGCGAAGCTGCAGGAGACACACTGGAAAGGGCCCCTGTGAAAGGACTCCCAGGTGCCACCAGGACACAGACCTCACTACTGAACTATGGTACAGTGTGGGATACCGAGCTCGTCACACAGAAACTGTTTTCTGTCGTGATGCTGGCAATGGCATGGGTAATAAGGAACCCCAGCATATACGCTTGTAACATGTCTCTCAACTTCATGCCAAGGGAGCTCCCAGACTATGCCTTTGCTACATTCTATAGGAATTTGGTATTTCTTGAAAAGAAGCTAGTAATGACAAATGATGAGTTATTGTTCCCTTCTCGGGAGGTGAAAGGAACAGAATTATAATTTCCTTTCATTCTGAATAGAAGTCTTGAAAATCTCTAATTTCATTTTTATTGATTCTCATCACTATTTGATATAATAAGAATCCCAGTTTAAAAAAAAGAGAGGATTAAAAACCCATTGCCATTGTTCTTGAGGTCTCAGTAGTCCTCATTGTCCGCTATGTTTAGCGAGACCGGGTTTTTGATCCTACTGCACCTATTGGTTTTGTGGGAGCCTAGGCAGTTTGGATGCTCACCTTACTAGACCTGGATGGAGGTGGGTGGTCCTTGGACTTCCCACAGGGCAGGGAACCCTGATTGCTCTTTGGGCTGACGAGGGAGGGGGACTTGATTGGGGGAGGGGGAGGGAAAGGGGAGGCGGCGGTGGGGAAGAGTCAGAAATCTTTAATAAATAAAAAAATAAAAATAAAATAAAAAAAAGAGAGGAAAAAAATAGAATTCCCAGGGAAAACACATGTGTTCGCTAACACACAGACACACAGACATACACACATGGGAAGAGACACTAGAGCCCAGTGACACCACCACACCTGAGGCCAACCAATGACAATAATCACGCTTTGTGAGAGCAATGAGAAACCCATTCCGGGTCTCCAGTTACCACACGAATGGCTGTTTGTTTTGTAGCCATCTTCACTATTATCTGAATCCCACTTTATTTAAAGTCTGTCTAGAGAGTCAGGAAATGAACAATCTGTTCGAGGTAGCTCTCCATCTATGTCAAGAGAAAAGAAAAATGACTTTCCAGGAATCGGCTATGGCTTCATTCTGATGTCATGTTTTCCTATTATAAATCCAAACAGACCAATCTTCTCCTTTGTTTTCTTTCTTTGGCAAGATGGTGTAGCTACATGAAAGAGAATTTCTGCTTGACTGGATCAGTTGTCTCACTAACAGACATGTCAATATTTTCTGTATAACTTAATTTCTTGTGAAACATTTTTCAGTTTATGATTAAACAAACCACATTCTATTTCCCTATTTTCTCCCATCATAATATTTTTATAAGCCATTTAAACCATAGTGTGTGCCCTCCCCCCTCCCTCCCCCGCCCCACCCCACTGTCTGTGCTTCTGGAGTCCTTCTAGAGGAGCTGCAGGAGCAGCCGGAGGAGGAGCCGGAGCAGCTTCCTCAAGAGTCAGGGGATTCCTGGGCTACATTTGTGAGCACACATCTCTCTACATGAAGCACTGCGAAAGCAAAGAAAGGTGTGCTTGTATTATTTCTGGATCCCTGGGCTGTGCACACAGACATTAAATATTTACTGAAGACATGAATAAGCAGTGAAAAAGTGGAAAGAAAAGATAGGCACATAGAGGGAAGGAAGGACGCTAATAAAAAATTAAGAGGCATGGGTGCTGGGTGGTTTAGAGGCTGCTGGGTCCTGAAAACTTTGCTGCTTACTGATGCTGGCCAGTCTCAGAGATGGCTAAGCAGACCTGGGTACAGACTCTGTGCAGATGAATATGGGTCCCTGTCTTTGCAATAGACTAGTCACTGTTAGGTGACATGATGTATATTATGGATTATATCTTGTCATTTATGTTTATTGTACAGATTTGAAAACAAAAATTAAAACAACTAGTAATCTTTAGAAGAATTCTCCAGTTTGTCCTTATTCTTAGGCACACAGAGTTTCCCATGTGAAAACCAGAGGACTTATCTGTTCCCAGGCAGATGTGCCGTCCGCACACACTTTTCTTTCCACACCCCTGAAGATGAGGTGTGAGCAAAGGTTCAACACTACACTCTTCCTTTAGCCACAAGCGCCGGTTGCCACACAATGTGGCTATGCAGTCTCAGTGGGAGCCACCTCAGTGGGGTGGAGAATGTGCCTTCTTCTGCAATCCACCTCCTCAGAGCTGGGAAGCAAATGCCATGGGAACCGGGAATGGAACGGGGCAAAGCATCAGCCAGAGCATTGACCAAGTCTGTAGCACACGAAAAAGCACTGGTCCCAATTTAAGAGACTTACTTTTCAGAAATTAAGACTCAAATAATGAAGTCATTGGCAAAAATGTTTGCATTTTCCCATACAGAAAATCATCTGCCCAACATGTTGGAGAGTAATGAGAAACAAAACCCTAAACCACCACTCTGTATTTGGTTCCCAAAGTCTGAGTTGTAGCCCTGACTGAAAGTACCTTACTAGCTGTCTTGTAGACACCCACATGCCAGCTGTGTCAAACTGCAAAACAAACTGTCCTACATGGAATACCAAAGGACCCTGTAACAAGGTGATGGGCACAGCAAGGTGATGCCCAGCTGGGGATTCTTATTTCCATCCATCCTCTTACACATCCTGAAAGGAGGCGAGATGGTGGAGGCTGAGCTGGCCTACAAAAGGAAGCCCAAGTAGACTGACCGCACTGGAGTCACTGTCCCCAGCAAGCATGTAGAGTCCCCTCTGGAGTGTGACTTCCCTCCAGAAAGCCCAAAGGCTGCACAAGTTGTTTGTGCTTTCACCCTCTCTAAATGACTTGCAAATTTATTCAAACACAATATGAAAGGATGCTCTATTTGTTGAGATAACTGTCGGCAGTGTCCTGTACTAAGGGGTGAGGTACATCAAGCAGAAATGTGGGCAGAAGCACATTGGCTTAGAAAGCCATAAATCCTTATTTGAATCTGCCAACCTGAAAGCCATGAAGAGCTGGAATAAACTATTTTTCCTAAATGCTACATCTGATTAAGCCATACCATCAAGTGACAGCTGAACTTTAACATTAATATGATATTATTTAAATAACCACATGATTTTTTTTACACTAAAAATGATGAATGATTTCTGGACAGCTCGATCGACAGAATGCCGGAGGACTCTTTAATGAGATGTGACAAAATGGAGGCATATGCAGAATGCTCGTTACAGCTCATATGGCAGGCCCTCCCCGGGAAGAGGAAGCTCTCCTTCCTTTGTACTGCCTTTAGGCATGGAAGCATCTCTTTCAGTTGCCACCGCTCTTCTCTGTGAACTTTCAGTTTCTCTTAGGTCATTTACCTACAGCTCTTATGCAGAGAACCCACAGACTTTGGGTCACGGTTAGGATGGCACCTCCAGGGAAAAGAAGGGTAGAGGAAAACTTGGTTGGTGATGCCCTAGGAACTTGGGGGTACCACTGATGGAGTCACAGAGAAATTACATCAGCTCCTGACATGTCACAATTATACATTTACTTGATTCTTACAAAATCAACGTTCAGCACACGACACAGCTGTAGGAAAGTACTGTACAGGGTCCCTGGCCAGAGGGCGCTAGCTTGTTGGTGCAGCTGTCTCAAGAGAAGAGTTCCTTTTCTAGGGTCACTCTCAACACTCATCAGCCATCTCACTCCACACCAACATGACCATGGTAGAGGACTGTTGGCAAAGGGGCCGCTTGTTTGTTTCCAGCCGCCCATACTCCCGAAATAATCACACAGAAACTGTATTAATTAAATCACTGCTTGGCCCATTAGCTCTAGATTCTTATTGGCTAGCTCTTATATTAATTTAACCCATTTCTATTAATCTGTATATCACCACGTGGCAGTGGCTTACTGGCAAAGATTTGGCATGTCTGACTCTGGCGGCTCCACGGCGTCTCTCTGACACTGCCTTCTTCTTCTTCCCAGCATTCTGTTTAGTTTTCCCTGCCCGATTCTGTTCCCCTAAGCTCTGATATAGGCCCAAAACAGTTCTTTTATTCATTAACCAATAAAAGCAACATATAGACAGAAGGACCTCCAACACCAGAGGACCTTTTCACTTTGTAGAATACTAGTGGAAAATAATTAAGTTCAGAATAGACTTAGAATATTACCAATCTTTATTTACCTTTTTATATTTTTCTGAAAATTATCCATCAGTCAAAGTTTAGTCACACACAGTACTTAAAAGATTATTCTGATAACTGTGACAGTCCTATAAATCATCTTGATGCATGTGCATGAAGTCACAATGCTTCCCTAAGCAGCCTTTTTCTCAGCAATGAAACAAGAAGACAAATAAAGCTGGTACCCAGAGTTCTCCGGATGATGGAAGGCCTGCATTTCCTCAGTCAGAATTGAGAGGAAAGTCACTGTGCTCCTGCCATGGGCCTTCCTCAGGCTACGAAAAAAATGCTTCTTGTCTAACCCTAATTTTTTTCTATAGCTTGAGGTAAGCCCTCCAGCTCAAGCCTTGTCTCTAATCTGAGTTAGCCACGTGGGTAACCCACAAAAGGGTTAAAAACAGTGCCCTATTATTTCAAAAGGGTGTTGATACAGCCTTGGAGGGAAGAGAAGAACCCAGGAGCTTGTAAAATGCTCCATCCCAGTGTGGCGGAAACAGTTAAAAGAGAGAAACAGAAGGTCAGTCCCTACCTGGCTCTTACCTTCGCAACATCCCCGTCAGGATTCTGGAGCTTTTCCCCAAGTTTGCATCTGTTTCCCGGAGCTAAAGGGGGAAAGTGTGGTGGGAACAAAATAAAGCAGAATGAAGCATCAGCACTCAGAGGGGTCTAAAGCGCATGCTGAATGATAGCTGAGTTTCCCAGGAGACAACAGTAAGAGGCATTTGTGATGCTGACACAGACTCAGTTCCTAGATTCAGAGGACGACCTGAGAAGATTTAAAGTGGATACCCGGACAGGATATAAAGCAAATGCCTCACACGTGGTTCAGGGTTTAACATTCATTAATACATGAACGTGCAAAGTCCTAAAACTACAAACGCAAAGGAAAGGAAGCTGAGGAAGAGCGAGGGTATTTTATATTTTCACAATCTTTGTTCTGAAAGACTGATGCACCCAAAGCTCCCTCAGTGGCCTGTTTCTTACCACAGAGGGCACTCTGAGATGAGTAGAGTCGGCTACCTCGTCCACCATCTCGAGCTCTTGCTTTCTCTTCCTATACGTGGCCCTTGTTCACCCTCGTCTTTCTTAGATCCCTGTCCTTACAGCTACGCCATCACTGTCTGGTGTCCATCCCAATGAATTCAGGAACATGTAAATGATGGCATGATTCGTACTCACTCGCTCACGTGCCCGCTGTATCTTTTCTCTGTCATGACTAAGGTTTTCCAACATCTCTTGGCCGATTTGCTCTATGGAAAAGAAAAGAAAATGTCAGGAATGGTAGCATAGGGTACATACAGACACCCAACACATCCCCAAAGGACCAGAGTGATCATGGATACAGAACCAAGATGAAAGCAGTGTCCCTTACATACCAGATACATTTCAATTAATGTATTTGAAATATGTAACAGTTTTTGGTAAATTTACCTATCTTGAGGATGACTGGGTACAATTTAAAATCCAAAAAGCAGGCTGTGGACAATATGGCATCAATGAGTTAACAGTGAAGTGACTTTTTCAAGGCCACTCAAACAAGTTCCCAGCAAGATGGAGAGCCCAGGTTTTTACGTCATCACTGTACAGTGTTTGAGTTTACAAACTGAGAGTAACATGGACGAGTCCTGCCCCTCTCTTACGGCATCGTTTACCTGTGTGAGCCAACATCCATTTATAAAGTTATGCTTTTAATGCATGCAGTTCTCAGAGTCCGCAACCACTGCAGCTAGTGGTAGCGGGACTATTCCTTTGCCTCCACTGTCCTGGAGGCAAGAGCGCGTTCATGTGTTATCAGCTGCTGCGGATTCTCCAGTCAAATCAAATTCCTGGACCACTCCACACCACCTAGGAAGCCACACTCTGACTGTGGTGAGGACTTCCCTGACACAATGATCGCATTCGCCCGTCACCTGGCAGTCTTGCTTCTGACCAGGCACTAGGTATGACCTGACCTTGCAAGACACAGCTGCTTTGAATGTTTTTTATTTTCAGTCCCATTCACTGTCACCAGACTTATAACAAAAGTCTGCAATATGGAGGACCACAAAGCCATTTTTCTCAGGAAAACACAATTTAATACTACTTCCTATCAAAATGGACCATATTATAATACCTGAGTTCAAACAAATGGAAAGAGATTATTGATGCTGTGTCTAACACCCCAATTAGTACTTATGGGAAGAATCAAGAACCAAAAGAATGTGGTAGAGAGAAAAAACCCAACAAGTGTTAAACTATTCTTCCAAACCCTTGGAGCACAGCCCCGGAGAAGGCAGCACTGGAAAGCAAACCCAGGAGCCTCAAGTCTATCAGGTTCACCAGGGAAACTCCACTCTGAATCTATCTAGAATCCTCTACTCAAGGAATCAATGATACTAGGTCAAGAGTTGGGCTGTTCTTGAAGTCATAGCCACACCCACAAACTCCTTATTTCCGGGACAGGACCCAGCAGCACAAGTATTAAGCCCATCTGGCAAGAGAGGAGAAACTTGCAAAAATGTGGCCCTGGTCATCTTTGATGGGAAGAAAATCCTTCATTTCTTAGCTACCTATATTTTAATATGTCAAAACAGAAAATCCCAGGCAGATACATTAGAGATGGTCGGTCTTATGGACAAAAAATAGACAAAGAAAGTGAGGAGACTGCTTTTGATACAATCATTTGTCAGATAGTATTAGATATTTAGGGATTATTTAAGTTAAAAGTTACAACATGGTTAGTTTGGTCTTTCTTGAATTATTTAAGTTAAAGAGACTCAAGGAAAACACCAGTAAAGCTTTCAGGAAGGCTGCAGAGCTGGCTCAGGGGTTCTATAGTTGCTGCCTGCTCTTCCAGATGGTCAGTTCCCAGCACCCACATAGCAGCTTACAGCATCTCTGTCACCTCAGTCCTAGATATCTGAGGGTACCAGTCATGCGCAGCGTGCAGACACACATATAGGCAAAATACTCATACACATAAAATCAAACTAATAAATAGTACTTGTAAAAAAGGGGCTGGAGAGATGGCTCAGCGGTTAAGAGTACTGGCTACTCTTTCAGAGGCCCTGAGTTCAATTTCCAGCAACCACATGGTGGCTCACAACCATCTATAATGAGGTCTGATGCCTTTTTATAGCATGTAGGCATACATACAGATAGAGTACTCCTACATATAAAATAAATAATTTTTAAAAAAGGAAAAAAATTCAAGCTCATAGACTTGAAACAATGGCAAATGTGACACGCCACGTCTACATTTTTTTAGTTCCCTAAATTTTCCTGTGGTCATTGGCAGGAACAGCTACCATGCACCTATGATACAGTTAGAGATGCACAGTTTATAAATAGTGTCTTTGCTGACCATTAAGCATCTTCCTGGGCTTAGGAAACAACGGGAAGCAGAAAATAATACTGATTTTTGCATGTAGCAGCTCTACATGTCAGTGTGACATGATGAATGAATTCCTGGAAGGAAGACTTCCTTCCTGTCCTTCCATTTTCTCCACAGAGGTCCTGGGAATCATCCTGGGGATACAGCACTCAAACACATAAAATGAATTGCTTTTACAATTACACAGAATCAATCACAGTGTCCGTCCTCAGCCCTTTTATTTATAGGGCACACACTTGCGAAGGGTCTCTAGGTAACACTGCATCTCCTCTTCAGCCTTTTGCATGGTGTATACAATAGGCATTCAATGCTTTCCTGTCTCTGAGTGAGCGGAACTGAGAAGGAAACAGGTAACCACAAATCTAGCAGGACACTTCCTGCAGGACCTGCCTGGCATCTCCAGTATAGATAAGATCTAGGCTGAGGAGTGCGCATCTTGGACAACATCATGCCTTTTCATTCATGAAAGAATATTAGACAAATTGCATACACTCATCATGAGGCAAACATGAGTGAATCTTTAAAAGAAATTGGATCGGTACTTTAGCAACGAATGGCTTAAAATATTCCCTATGAAAAGTCACACCGAAGCTTACATCGTTACAAATATAGCTGGAAGAAAAAGGTGCCTCAAATCTAATTCAGCACAAAATGTTCCATTTGATAAATATGTATTTTTAAATTTTCGCCACACTCCAGAGGGTACTCATTATTCCTCAGCACAACTGTACTTAACTCTCTTTTTACAACCCTTGTTAAGGATGTGGTTTCCAGAAAATTATTTTTAAAAGTGAAGGACACCAGTTAAGTCTTCTTTAAATTGCCAAGAGGAGACAGGGTTATTTCCCAACATTTGAAAACCCCATTATCAGTCCAGAAACAGGGGGAAGATATCCACAACAACCCAGTAGTTAATATACATCTGGGGCATGCATGAAGTGCAGAAGCACACATCTGGGGGACGTGTGAGGTGCAGAAGCACACATCTGGGGCACGTGTGAGGTGCACATGTACACATCTGGGGCATGTGAGGTGCAGAAATACACATCTGGGGGTGTGTGTGAATGCAGAAGCACACATCTGGGGCACGTGTGAGGTGCAGAAATACACATCTGGGGCATGTGAGGTGCACATGTACACATCTGGGGTGTGTGTGAATGCAGAAGCACACATCTGGGGCATGTGAGGTGCAGAAATACACATCTGGGGCATGTGAGGTGCACATGTACACATCTGGGGCATGTGTGAGGTGCAGAAGCACACATCTGGGGCACATGTGAGGTGAAGCAGTACACATCTGGGGCACGTGTGAGGTGCAGAAGCACACAGTGGAGCCACCTAAGGGCTCTTCTGAACCACATGCTTCATGGACTGTAGGGCAGCTGCACAGAGGATGAGCATGCTCTTTACCAACAACCTGAATTTTAGACATGGTGACTGGGACTTCTGGCCACTGAACTTAACATAAGGGAGAAAGCTGAGGGGAGATGGGTGAACACAGACTTCCCAGATCGGTCACTGTCATTTGGACTGTGTTCTTGGGCAATGGGTCTGGTTTTGCACCCCAGACTTAAGTGTTGAACTCAGCACTGAAGAATCTTTGGAGTTCCTGACACAGGGAAGGAAGCATGCCACAAAAGACAGTTTTCACCATCTCTCTTCACTTGAAACTCAAGACATGAGGGGTTTCTGCTCCCACTATGGTGTAGAAAGTGCACCAAGGAGCACCTCCCCAGAAACAAGGAAACAGACAAAATAATCGATGAAGTCCTGGAGGACGGGCAAGTGCAGGAGGTGCAGAGAAGCCCGGTGAATTCTAGAGAGGTTCACGTACTGCCTACGGGAGGGACTGTGAGTAGGTCTCCTGTGCAGAGTGAGCACTTAGTCTGGGTGCTGCCTGTACTCAGGAGGGAAAGCAGGCAGGTCACACGACCACGTTGCGTCTAGGGTGCAGTGCAGTCTAGCTGATCATCTCCCCCCATATCCATATGCACTCAGGAAGAGGCAATGGTGCAAGGCCGGATTGGAGGAGCATTCCCACACATTCTCACACATCCTTACAGCGCTTGTGTTCAACACACTATTGGAGGAAGTCTGTCTCAGTGCGGCACACACATCAAAGGTGCAGATTGACCCATGCTAAGATTGAAGACTAGGATTTTTGGTTTGTTAGCTTTTAATTTTGAGGCAGAGACGGGGTATGCAGTTTAGGGTGGCCTCAGACTAAGACATACCCATCCTCCTAAGTCAGTTCCCGAGGGCTGTGGTTATAGGTTTGCACTGCTATGTGTGGAGAGAGTTTCCACTCTTTCAGTAGCATCAGCATAGGCTGGGAGCACAGTGGCCACAGATAAAGCCAGTCTGCTTATCAGATGCAGCTCAGCAGCACCCGAGGCTGACTCCCGGCAGACGCTGACTGCACTATAGTCCTAGCACAGCAAGATGTTGTCAGAGGCCAACAAACCCAGCAGTTTATACCTCAGGATCCACACTGCTTCATGTACAAGTCACAAATGGCAGGGAAAAAAAGAGACACCAATCAAGAGAAAACATCACAGATATAAGCAGACCAAGTGACCTGAGATGGAGGGATTATCAACAGACATATGGGGGAACCAGAGAAAAGACAGGCTTTCAAGACATAACAGAAAACTCTAAGGAGCAAAATACAATTTCAGAATGCAAAGAAATAGTTTCTGAGATGAATCAAGTATTGATCAAACAAAAGAGCCTTGAGTAGGAAGGAAGAATCTTGAAGATAGGTTAACAGAAATGACCCAAATCAGGCGACAGGAGTTAAGAAAAACACACAGCATGATGTCAATATCTGTTAGATGGTTAGAAGGGGCCTCTAACTACGTCATTAGAGATCTCTCC